AAAAAAAAAAAAAAAAGACTGCCTTATTTGGGTGCTGCATTCAGTGAGATCATAAATATAAAATACTTAGCATGGAGCATTGCACATGGTAGACACTCAATACGGTGGGAGCTGCTATTATAAATAAAGCTGCAGTTCTTTTAAAAGTGGCGACAATGTGGCTATGTCACCCTAAAAGCTTTCCATAAGTGAGATAATCACAAGATGGTAATCAATGACAGTTGATGAAGAATTAAAGTTTATTTTTTCCCCAGGAGGCTAGTAAAAGTGAGCCTCTCACAGAGGCAGTAATAAGCTTGAAAATGATTTATGCTGATGCTGACTGCAGGGTGGCATGAATAGTTGATATCAGAGTGGAGTCTCTGGGAGTGTAATTGCATTTGCTCCCCATTCCCACCCCCTTAAAGATAGCGTCCCAGCTACTTCCAAAAAGCCTCTCTCTGGGCATCCATCTGATTACACGCCACAGAGCCCACTCAACTTTATACAGCGACTGTGTTTGCTTCTTCATTACCCTCAAAGTCAGGTTGCGTTTCTGTTTATAAACTTCACTAGCTTTCCAGCATCCTCCTCTTTCCAAACCCTATTTCCCTACAAATACCCATTCTTCTCTGTCCTCCCCTTACCCACTGCTGCTAATGTCTGCCATTTCATTAGTTCAAAGAACAGTTATTGGCATTGTCCATGTGCTGGAGCCATAGAGAATAGATTATGTCCTTTCCGATTACCCTAAATCCTTGCTTTTCCTCCAAAATTGTCCTCACTTTTCTATACTTGTTCTTGGAAGCAACTTGCTCTGGTTATCAAAAGCCAACTCAGATTGTACCTTAAAGGACTCTTGGACACCTTTATGGGAAATCAATGCTCCATACTCTCTCGGTGTTTTTATTTATCCACTTGGTAGACAGTTGCTAGATACCATATTGCCTGGAAACCCCCTCCCCTCCATGACCTAATTATTTACACAGCACAGCCCATCTCAGGTTGGGATAAATGGCACTTTTGTGAGACAATGACGAACACGAATATTGGAATGTTTACAGTGGGATACATCTTCCCTTGGAGCCAATAAGAAAAAAGAATAAGCATTTGGGAACTATTCCGGCTCTGGGATTCTCAGCTTTTATAGAAGATGAATAGAAATGCTGCAATAAACAGGGGAATATGATGCTTTTAAAGCAGGCTTAACTCCAGGAAAAGTGCTGACGGCCCCTTTTAGGGCTTCGAAGGCTGCTGACCTCACTCTTATTCTTTAATTTGTGTATTTTGCTCTGACCTCATCAAATTGTTATAGACAGGTTTGACAAACAATCAGTTAGCAGCATCTTATGTCTGTCAACAGTTCATCCCCTCATCTCACAGAAAATTATTTCTTTTTAGGCTTCACTGTTGCCTCTTGGTAGGAATAATGAGATCTCCCGGGTGTGCACACCTCTAGGTTTCTATCATGCTCAGATTAGTTAATGTAGCATTTATTTATTTAGAGTTATTGTGCCCCAATTACAAGTCACACATGTCTGTGTGGGGGACACGTGGACACAAATTGACGGAGAACTCTCATTGTTTTAAGAGGTGCTGGAGAGGAAGTCCAGTTGGGGGCATGACTTTGTCCCTGGGAAGTGAAGTTCCTTTTACATCTCTGTTATGTATTAGCTGTGCATCTGCTTATATAATAGAGAAAATTTCAAAATACAATGAAATCTCACTGGAATTTAATCTAGCAAGAGCATGAGATGTTTTTTTTTCCCCCAAATGAAAAAATAAGCCAAAAGAATTCATGTAAAAAAAAAATCAGCCTAAAAGGAATGGTTCAGGTGTATCACTGTACATGTCGTAGTGACTGTAATTACCTGTCTGGTTACTGTAGTGATTTTCAGGACAGTTCACACATTCATAGCAGCAGATATGTTGACTTCTTGTAGTTTTCTTCATTTGCCCAGGCCTGCATTCCTTGGAGCATTTAGATTGAACTTGCTGTAAAGTGAAAAGAAATCCCAAATAGATATTTAAAAGATTTATCTTAACTAACATTGTATTTTGGTCTTTTTTTTTCATAGTATAATAGAATTATTTTGTCATCTGGAGGAATGTGAACAAGTTTAAGAGGCAAAAAATATTTCGGACAGTGAAACTGCTTTAGGAAGAACACAGTTTTTGTCACATTAATAACTTCTGTAAGCAAACAAGGGAAATTAGCTCTTTCAAAAAGCCCCTGGCAGAGGGAGAAATGTGTAGTGGTGGAATTAAAGAAGGGAATGATGGTTTAAAAATTTCCAATCCTGTGCTGTATAAAGAGTTCAACTATATAAGAAAATAGTATATTGTTGGACTTTTATATTCTTTAGAAGAAGGTTATTAATCATGCTGTCCAAGGACCATGTCCAATCTAATCTTAAAAAATGAAACAGTGAAAAATTCTGAATTCAAAACTATTAAAGTATCAGTTGAAAAGACAAAATCATCCTGAGAATTTAGGTCATAATTCTGCATTTTCCACTGTAGATCACACGTAACATTCTACTTTCATGGAACCCTCTGCTTCCAATCTAGCTAATAATTTTTGCACTTCAGCTGTGTTATTTTTTCCATTCACAGTCCCTTTCTCATGGCACGTCTTGCGAGATAATCTGTTATCGTCTTACTTTTACCCTTGGGAAGCCAAAGCAGAATGGGTAAGTAAGTGAGACTTTCTCTCGATTCCCTTAACAGCTATTCCTGAGCCTGGAATACAGTCTAAGTACTAAGCTAACCAGTGTTTTTTCTGGGAGATTAAAATGGTCTGGCTGAGAGAGAAGAGCAGCCAAGATTCAGTAGCCCTGTGTCCACAGGCACTGGCTTTCTTCTTCTCAACATAATTATTGCTGACCTAGGTTTTCAGCAGGTAGCATATCTGCCTTGTGGATTCCCCAGGGCAAACTTTTAATTGGAAGTATCCACACTCCTGGAGGGTGCTCAGAGGACACAAAAGGATTTAACTATGAGATAAAGCTGGACATCATTAGGGGGATAAAAGTGAAACCTTTCTTTCCAGCAACACGGTCCCTCCTCTCCCCCACATAAGAGATAGCAAAGACATTCTAAAGTCTAGTATTGATAACTTTGGGATAGCAATAGATTTAGGATTACCTGATGTTTTGGACTATGATTTTTGATGACTTACCAGGAATGCTGATACTCCAACGAGCCTGCATATTGACAAGCAGATCTTGAAATCTGACCTAATTGATCTCAGATACTGTTGGTTTCTACAAACTTCTTGAAGTATTTATGGTTGTTTCCACCAGAAAGGAAAGGTTGTCTCTCTTTTCATGGTGGTCAGCCCCTTCCATTTAGTCACCAAAAGCCCTACTCAGTTATTTGTCTTCCTATCACCTCCCGCTCATTGACTGTCTCCCCTACAAAGTCTGAAGACAACTCTTGGTAACAATAAAAGCAGTGCTTCTTGCAGAAATTATAATAGGGAATCCTCTCTGAATTCAATAAGAAAATGACTCACAGCATGATTTAAGAGACCCAGTATGAGTTACAGTGTTTAGCAGAGTGCTGGGTTCACAGTGTGGTTGTGAGGATGGTGGTGATGATAACACCAATGATGAAAGTTTGAGAACACAGAAGGATGGCTACATTTCTCTTTCAAGGAAAAAGTTTCTGGCTTTACTGAAACTTATCACAGGGAAAATGAGAATAAAAAGAGTGGCTTAAAGCATTACTATATTCATTCCTTCATTCAACAGATATTTTTTGAGTGCCTGTTATATGTCAGGCACTGTTGTAATTGTTGGAGCCACAGCAGGGAACAAAACACAAAAATCCACACTCTCATAAACCTTCAGTTCTAGTTACCATGGTTGACAATAAACAAGATAAAGATAAGCAAAATGCACAGAATGCTAGATAGTGATAAATGTTAGGGAGAAAGGTAAAGACAGGAGGGTATATAAGAAGTATTACGTTGACATTGCAATTTTAAATAGGGTGACGGAGGAATGCCTCCCTGAGATGTGACGTTTTAAGAAAGACAGAATGGGAGTGAGAAAGCGAACCACGTGGACATCAGAGAAGATTATTACAGGCAAAAGAAACAGCAGATGAAAGGCCTTGAGCTAGGATAAGGAAAGCCTGTATGGAAGAGTGAGAAGGCCTGTGGGGTTGTAGGAAGTGGCAAGGGTAAGCGGAAGGTGGTAGGAGATGAGGACTGGTGGCAGGTCCTGGAAGGTTTTCAAAGACATTGGCTTTTACGCTGAGAGAAACAGGATATATCTATTTCTAGGATATATATAAGGAGAGCTCTGAGCAGAGTATTATATTTTACAGGATTACTCTGGCTGCTGTGTTAAGAACAGACTGAAGAGGGGGCCGGCCCTGTGGCGTAGCGGTTAAGTTCTGGCACTCCACTGCTGGCGGCCCAGGTTCGGATCCCGGGCACGCACCAATGCACTGCTTGTCAGGCCATGCTGTGGCGGCGTCACATATAAAGTGGAGGCAGATGGGCACAGATGTTAGCTCAGGGCCAGTCTTCCTCAGCAAAAAGAGGAGGATTGGCATGGATGTTAGTTCAGGACTGATCTTCTCATTAAAAAAAAAAAAGAACAGACTGAAGTGGGTAAGAGTGGAGGCAGAGAGCACTTAGAAACCTACTGTCTTAATCTGGGTGAGAGGTGATTGTCACTTGGAGTGGGGTGGCAGCAATGGAGTAGAGGACAAAAAGTGGTCAGAATCTGGACCCATTTTGAAAGTAAAACTTAGATGGGATATGAAGTGTGACAGAAAGAGAAGTGATAAACATCCCACCAGGTTTTTCCATGAGCAACTAAGACAAGGGTATTGCCATTTATTGAGATGAGGGTAGATTTGGGAACTAATCAGTTTTGGAATAATCAGTTAAGCTGACTATTAGACACCCAGGTAGAGATGTCAGTTAGGCAGTTGTATATTGATTTCGGTTGAAATTCAGAAGATAAAAATCTGGGAGTCATTTGCCTTCTATATAATGACATTTTTTAAAGCCACAAGCCTGGATGAGATCACTAAGGAAAAGTGCAGACAAAAAAGAGGAGCAGTTCTGAGCTCTGGGCACACCAATATTTATAGGCAGTGGGAATGACGAGGAACCAGCAAAAGAGATTGAGAAGCAGTGGCGAGAGACGGAGGAAGAAAGTCAAGGGAGTGTGGTGTTGTGGAAACAAAGAAAGAAAGCATTTCATGGAGGGAAGAATAATTGGCCCGTGAGTGAAGTAAGATGTTGTTCTGATTTATCAACATTGGTGAACTAGACAGAAAGGATTTTTATGGATTGGAAAGAGTTCAAAAGAATTATGGGAGGAGAGAAATTGGGGCCAGTGAATATATTCAACTTTTTCAAGGAGTTTTGCTGTAAAGAGAAATAGAGGGATGGGCAGTATATGGAGGGAGAAGTAGGGGATCAATAAAGTTTCTTTCTTTCTCTCTCTCTCTCTTTCTCTCTCCCTCCCTCCCTCCCCCCTCCCTCTCTCTCTTTCTTTTTCTCTCCTTCCTTCCTTCTTTCCTTCTTTCCTTCCTTCCTTCCTTCCTTCCTTCCTTCCTTCTTTCCTTCTTTCCTTCCTTCCTTCCTTCCTTCCTTCCTTCCTTCCTTCCTTCTTTCCTTCTTTCCTTCTTTCCTTCTTTCCTTCTTTCCTTCTTTCCTTCTTTCCTTCTTTCTTTCTTTCTTTCTTTCTTTCTTTCTTTCTGGAAGATTGGCCCTGAGCTAACATCTGTTGCCAATATTCCTCTTTTTTTGCTTAAGGAAGCTTGGCCTTGAGCTAACATCCATGCCAATCTTCCTCTATTTTGTATGTGGGTCGCTGCCACAGCATGGCTTGATGAGTGGTGTAGGTTCGTGTCTGGGATCCAAACCTGTGAAGCCAGGCCACCAAAACGGACTGTGCCGAACTTAACCACTACACCATCGGATCTGCCCCTCTTCCTTTTTTTTTTTTAAGAAGGGGGGAATAACAGCATATTTGTATCATCATTTAAGTAATGCAGAAGAGAAAATACTTGAGGATGCAGGAGAAAGTGGAGAATTGCCAGAGCAATATCCTTGAGTAAGTGAACGCAGTTGGGATCTGGAGATCAAGAGGAGGATCTGGCTTGGTCTAGGAGCACAGACAGTCCATCCACAGTGCCAGATGGAAGGCCGGGATGTGGGCACAGACGTGCTGGCGGGGGAACACTGACTGTTTCAGTTTTGTTAGTGAAACAGGAAGCAGGATCAACTGAAAGGGAAGATGGGGAAAATGTGCTTGAGTCAGAGGAGACAAGATAAAGTATAAAATAGCCATCTAGGAAGGTGGGCAAGTGAATGAACTAAAGTGATAGTCTGATTGTCCAGCAGCATTAAGGGCCCACTGGAGGTTAGAGATCGTGAATTTAAAATGAGAACAGTCAGCAAGGTTTTTCGTTTTTTTTTTGCCAAGTTCAGCTACATGGGGGCTACACTGATTAGACAGAGAGTTGAATTTAACCAGGATTATGCTTTGGTTGAATGAATACGATGAAGGGAGAGAGAGGGGAAGGGAATTGAGGGTGTACAAGAGATTGATAAACAAGTTGTTCATGGAATTTAAGGAGAGAAGTTGGGGACAGTGAACAGGCCATAGAATCACTGGAGGTCCTGGTGGGGTCAAGGACATTTGCAGTTGAGGTACCAATTGATTTGAATGTTACAGCAAAATTACCTTGAGATTCCTGAACTCGTTTTTTGTTTCTTGGTCTGCGACAATGAAGACATCACTCTTCAGGTCATATTGTGCCAGCTTGGTGATAGTCATGTGGCCACTGATCTCCTTCCAGAGCACCACGTCATATCCAGTATTCATATCCCCATGGTCATCAAAATGAAATGAATTCCCTCCATCAGTGAATGTCACATTTTTCAGGACATCAAGTAACTACAAAAAATAAAAATAGAAACAAACACTAATAGAAATATTGTAAGTGTATCCATTATAACACTGCCTTATAAGAATAACACTTAAGCATTAGAAAAAGGATGTTCTGGATCAGTGAGTATGGTAACTAGTTGAGAAGGTTCTTAACTACCTGGCAACAATTTGAGAATTCTAGCCTCATTTCTGCCAAAGTCTTGCTATGTCAATTTGAGAAATCAAGTAAATGTTTATAGAGGGTAGTTTCTCTAGCCTACAAAATTGAAATCTGAGCATCTTGATTTTTGCGTCCTCTGGGTCAGATGTCTGGGCTCTAATTCTGGTTCCATACCTCATTAGTGATGTGATCTTGACAGTTACAATTTCTTTCTAGGCCTCAGTTTCCTCGTCTGTAAAATGAGGTAAATGAAACCAACCCTATAGGGTTATTGTAAGGGTTAAATGTAATTATGCATGTAAAGAGTTTAGCTCCGTATCTGGCACAGATGAAGGATTAATAAAGGTTAGATTAATATCTGTTAATACCTGTTATTAGCTAATAGGGATATTGTGCAAATAAATAAAAAATGCTTTGAGTCTATCAACTAATAATGTCACTTGACATTCATATGTTACTTGCTAATACTCAAATCTGTGATATCCTTTTACTCTGTAACAACTCAGTGAAGCAAGATGAGCAAGGATCATCTTCCTCTTTTCTTAGATGAGGAGCCCCAGGCAAGGGGTGAAGGAACTTATTTGAGGACAAGCACCTTGACTTTCATTATGAGACCTTTCCATTGCACCTAACAATATATTAATTCAAAATCTCCTCACTAGTTTTTCTTTCTGACTCAAAAGCAATCATCAATGTGCCATCTGGAACTATGGTAGGCAGGAAAATTCATCTTTTCCTTCTAGAGTCACAATCAGCCAGGGTCTTTGGCCAAGTCTGAGTAGGTAATCCAAGCCAATAGTTGTCAGGCCCATCATCCCCAAAATGAAGGCTGACGGGACAGAGCTACCAACCTGGGAGACAGTCCAGTAACAGCAGCACCCTGCTCTTGGGCGTGTACTGAAGAGCGTCCCCCCCAGAGAAGTTAGTTGATGGTCGTAAGTAAGGTAGCTTCTAGAGCCTGCCATCTAAGTCCATACTTTGTTACTCAGTTGGTGGGAGGTGTGGATCTTATTATCTCCAATGGTTTTCAAGTCTGTTTCAGTGATTGAGTGCATAGTAAAATGACTTGTAAATTCTATTTCTAATTTAATTCATAAAATGATTTTTTTTTTGACTCGAAAGAAAAGAAATGCAATGAAAAATTACTTGTTACACAATTGTACAGTGAGAATTTGTATGTAGTACAGCTAGGACAGGAAACGTTTAACTGACAATGAGGCAGCCACATGCAGCTTGTGCTGCAGAGGAAGAACACTGGAACAGGAGGGAGGAAAACAGATTGCCGTTCTGGCTCCACTGTTAACTTGCTATATAATCATGGCTAAGTAAATATCCTTTCTGAAGACATCAGGCCCCTTCATTATCTAAATGTATGGGGCCATGTGGCTTCTATTGAGTGCAAAATCTATGGAATGAGTCACAAATTGTTCTATTTGGATAGAATTATTCCTATTCTATTCCTTCTGAGTTAATCTTTTATGAATGTTTCTTTCTTTCAATTTTTGTCAATAGAATATAAGAAAATCAAGTTATATTTTAAGGTAAATATATTAGCTATAATAGTCATGTCAATGACCAAATGTCACTTTAGCAAAATGTCTAAGTGTGTGTATTGATTTTATTATACATCCCTACAGACTTCATAGTTCTTTTAATGAATGTAAATTAATTAGTATTACATTAAAGACGCAGGATATCAAATCTAACATGGTGGGATTAACCAACAAAATCTTATTCTAGCAATTGCCTGGAAGATAAAAACGGAGGGAACAAAAATAAAAGAATAAGTAAGAACCTTCTTATCAATGTTCTATCTATCAATGTTCTCACCTCTATCTGTGTATTGATTTTTCTTCTGTTCCTTCCTTAAGCAATATACACACGTAAGAGGGAGCATATCCTCTTCCACTCTTGCATTTGAGCTATAATTTCCACCTGTTTTTTCTCTGCATTTAATTAGGTTTTACAGGGTAAAGTTCTGACATATAGATGTTCTGTAAATAATGATAACTTTATATGACATAAATAAACTAGCACAATTCTATGCTTGTTCTTACAGGAAAGAGGGTGGAGGCAAATAAAACAGTGCATTCATGACTTGTTAAATATGATAGAACATTTGCTTTGGATAAAGGTAAATTTTGAACATTAACGCTCCAGTTGTTAAGCTACTAAATGCTTTCCCATCAATTATTTATTTGTTTTTCATTGAGACTCTGAAATTCACTATAATTGACACTGCAAAATGTAGAGAGTAGGATTTGCATTTCCATTATTATATAATACACCTCTGTCTGGTAATGACCTGTATTTGAGAGCACAAGGCAAGGAGGCCATGTCAATTAAGGTGATGTGATTGATGCTTCTACTTCCATAGCTGCTCTGATGCCCGCTGTATCTCTATAAGTAAGCTGTGCCTGTGAAAAGAATATCTGTGTGAGTAAACTAGAGAAAAGCAGAGGAAGCAGCTTCGCATCTCTGTCTGGTGCCTAGCCTATGTCTTTTTCTTTTGTGAAGTTTTTCGTGGTGTAGTAGAAAGCCCACTGGACTAAAGCTCGGACAGATTGCTAACTATGTGGGTGACCGCGGGCCAGATCCTTATCGCTGAGGTCCCCTCCGTGCCTAAATTGCTGCAAGTCTCAGTAACCAGTAATACTTCCTCTTGCCACTTGTTTAGGATGGAGTGTAAAGAAAATGAGTCCTGTAGACCTACCATAATATTATAAAGATTAGAGATCATATATGTTAGTGCCTAGTACAGTAGGCCTTACAAATTTTTACTTATTATTTTCCCTATCACTACAAAATCACTCTCTTCTTGGAACATGTCTCTTCTGACTTCTGGACTAATATTCAACCTTCATTGCTACACTAGGATGTCTCATAAGTTCTTCAAATTCAACATCTCCAAAATGGAATGCTTAATATTTCCTCTCCCTACCAGACCTCCACCTTTCTCTGTGTTTCCATCTCAACAAATGGCGCCAGTTGTCCAAATTTTTGAATTATTTGCAACATCTTTGCTTCTCTCTATCATCCTTTACATCAAATCTCTCTCCTAATACCCCCCTTTCTTCCTCTTAAATATCCATGTATATGTTTCTCCATCCTCACTGTCACAGCTGTAGTACAAGGCATCCTTATCTTACGCCTGGATTGCCAAATTGATCTTTCTGCCTCTAGCCCTTTGTCCCTCTAATCAATGCACACTGCAGTGGGAATGCTATTTCTACAATGGAAAGCAGATCACATTACTCTCCTGTGTAAAAGTGTCTTTAATTGGCTCCCTTTTGCTCTACAAAGTCTAAACCTTTAAACATAGTTTGCAGACTTCCTGTTTCAAGGATAATCCCTGTACCAGCAGTATCAGCATCACCCGAGAGCTTGTTAGAAGTACAGACTTTCAGGTCCCCCCGGAACTATTAGTGTCTGCATAAGATTCCCAGGAAATTCAACTGCACATCAAAGTTTGAGATGCTCTGATTGACAAGGCCCTAACAATGGATTCTTTACTAATCCCTCCAGTCTCATTTGCTTATAGTTTCCACAAAAGACTCTAGTTCTATGGCATGATTTTCTGCTCCCTGAAGATGCCATGCTCTCTCCCTTTTGAGACTTTGGTGGAATATTTCTGTCCTGGCTAACTCCTACCCATCCATCATATTCACCAGAGATGTCATGATCTTTGGAGAATGTTCTCTGAATCGCTAATACTGGATTAGTTGCCTCAATTATGTGCTTCTCTGCCATCTTGTGTTTATATGAAACATTGTAACGCATCATCCTGCATTGTAATCAGCTCCTTAATTGTTTGATTGTATACCCTACTAGAAAGATGACTCCTTTAGGGGGAGAACTGTCTTGTTCTGTATAATATTTTTAGCACTCAGTGCAATGCCTGGAACATTGAGACATCCAATAAATATTTGCTAAATAAATGTATGAATAGAAGTTTGACTATTAGACATTCTCTCATCCCACACACATTACTTACTACCTTGTATATGCTCAGAAGTAAACGAAGACAAAGAAGAAAACCAAAAGCACTAGTCACAACAAGGAGGTGGTATCCTTGCACACATCTGAGAAACATTGAAAATCTGTTAAAGTAGAACAAATATGACTGTGCTGCCCCTGAATACCACTCACAGATATAAACAAATATAGAGACAAAGTAAGGACTATCCTCAAATATTGGGAAAAACTAACCCCTTTAAAGTTATTTGAATCTAAAATCATTTAGAAACTATCATTTAAACAATAGTGAATTTTGCCAGGGGACAAAATAATCTTTAGAAATGCATCTTTGATTAGTGACCCTAAGGGTTGCTGATCTTTTAAATTTAATGTTTAAGGAGATTTCTTCATGAAAACAGTTGTTTGCCTTATTTGTCCTACTGAATCTAGCACAGATGTGGCTCACTCACATGGAGATCAAAGGAGCAAGTCACTCCCCTATTCCTCCTTTCCAAACTGTTTCTGTTTGTTTCTAGATAAACAGGCTCCCAAGGGCATAAAGAACGACCCCACGCTCCTAGTGTTTAAATAAAACATTTTAGAAGACTCTGCTTAGATTACTTTCTCAAGTCTTTTCCTCAGAATGTTTGAGACTTCTTCCTGACTTAAAATACTTTCCCAGATCTTTAGCAGATAAATAGCTCTTGCTGTTTGTATTTCTCTTTCCTTTTGAGGCTCTTTATATCCCCTCCTCTTTGTCCTGTCTGTCTCTATGATTGTCTATTTTCTCTCCATTACTCTTTCTCAGTCTCTCATTCCTAAAAATTCCATGTCATAGTTTCATTATAGTCATCCACTTAATTTATAGTTTTACCAATCCTTCATGAAAAGTTTACACTGCAAAGAGTATGCTTTCAAATAGGCATCTTAAAATTATTAAGCCTGTAAATATTTTTTTAAAAAGAGAGTTTTAATTAAAAAAAGATCCTAATCTCTAGTCTTATCTCTTCATTAGGTTTTTGGCAATGCATTTACAAGCTGAAAACTAGTTTTAAAATGAGCAATTTAAAACACTCTATGACCATCACATGATCCACCCAAATATAAGCTGGTCACCTCAGACCTTGGAGCTTGTGTTGGTGGGTGTTTAAAGTAAAAATGACAAAAGCAGAAATAGCCTGTCCTGGATACTTATTTATATGATCAGGAGAATTGAGTCTTATTCCCTTTCACTTCTTTTTCCTTACAAATTTAAAATAAATATATTTTTGGAACATGCTTCTGCCTCAAGACATTCAAATTTGTCTTTGAATACACATTATTGAGGAATTTGTTTCTAATGAGTAAAATTTATCACCCTATGAAGCAGCAATTTGCTTTTAAATGCCTTGTTCATGGGCGTTTAAAAAACATAACGGAGATTTTTCACTGAATAGGGCCACATTGAACTTTAATTTGAGGTTTTCAAATTAATCAAAGAGAAGAAAGGGAAAGTCTTCTTTTACACACAATTAGTGGTTCATGTAAATGTGAGATATCATAGGAATTACTCTGACTGACCTAACAATATTCATTGGAAGAAAAACGGAGTCCTAGGGAGACGGCCCTAAGTAAGGGTCATAACTGGAGGCTTTGGGACTATCAGCCACCAGAGACACCATGAGAAGCAAAGGGCACGGAATCAGAAGGCTGAGACTGGAGTCACATTTCTGGTACTTCCTAGCTTTAGTTTCCTGGTCCAAAATATGTAGTAATAATAAAAAGGATCATTAAACATGCCTGGTCTTGTGTTTGTTAAGAGCATTAAAAGAGGTAATTCATATGAAGCATTGAAAAACTGCAATATCAGATAAATCCATAAACTCAAGGAAAATAACACTATCACCGGTATCTTCTTGGACAATAAAAGAACATAACTTTGTGGGTCAAAATAGGAGGTGAAGGTAAAATAACAACTCCATCATCCTCAAGAACAAAGAGCTAATGGTAGAAATGGAGGTTATTCAAACACTGAAGGTGTCTACTTCTAAAAGGAATACGATTAAGAGCAGTTAATATAACTACTTGCAAATCGAAGCAGGGAGGGATATGGAGGAAATGAGGGTAGGGGGATTTTCTTGGATGTGTGAGCTAGTACCTCCCATGGCTGAAAGGCATTGGAGTTCTGACAGTCTCGAGCTTGGCACAGATCCCGAATGGCATAGCCAAGGGCAAACACTGCGAGCTGAATACTGTGAACAAATCCGGGCTCAGTGTAATCCCACAGAAAGTCATTCCTCAGAGAGAAGTTCCTTTCTATATCCTCGTTAGCCTTGTAGGCCAAAGTCCCCTGCGAATGGTTGGAAATGCATTGACTCAAATCACTGTCTTTGACATATGCACAGGCAGACAAGAGCGTGGCATATTCATTTAAGGGCTTGTTATTATCACTGGGAAATACAGGCAGACTTTGAAGAAAGGCATGGAAAGAGGACATATTCCCTCTTCTAAAGGTAAACCCCACAACTTGGCCAATCCTTTTAATGTTAGGAATGGTGGTAATCTTGGTGGCAGTTGACCAAATATCACTAGCAATCCAGGTCTTATTTATATTCCTTTGAATGGCTCTATTGAAGAGATTGAACACATGGAATTGCCTCAGAAATACCACAATGACGTTAACCTGGGCTTCTGCTATGATTTTCTCAAGTGTCTGATTGATCCTGACTTCGATGGTATCATCTGAGAGGAAGGCCGGGAGAACTTCTTTGAAAGCTATGCACACGTTGTTTGCCAAGGTCTGAATTGCAAAAGTGTTGAGAGCCAGTCGTCCATAGTCATCGTCTGTGGTTATGATGCCAATCCAGTTCCATCCAGATTTCTGAATCAGGTGGACCATTGCTTTAGTTTGATAGAAGTCACTGGGCACAGTCCGTAAAAATGAAGGAAAGCGAATTTTGTCACTTAGAATTTCTGCAGTTGATTCATAACTCACCTGGAAATGGACAGAATCTTTTAGTTATGGTGTTGATGAACTCCAGGTGGCTGTTTGTGTAGATGCTCCTTTTTTGATTTCGGTGAGTTTCCATAACCTTTTCCTAAATTTTCTGATTCTTTCCATTCTTCCCTTTCAATGAACTCCTACTTTACAAATAGCTTACATCATGGTATTCAGTACTGGTGACTGTTTACAGTCATTGCTTTCCAATCATTTCATATCATGTATAGCATAAGCCCTTCAAGGGTTCAGGCTCTGTCTTATATCCCCATTGACACTTCTATATCCATCTATATTTATCTTATATCTCAGGCCAGGACAAATTGTGAAATTATCTCAATACTTAGAGATAAATACAGAAAAAATACAGCCAGTCAAATAAGCAAAATTCATTTTGGGACACCTACTATGTTCAAAATTTTACCTCATTTATAACTTTGGTGATTTTTATTCTAGGTAAAATAAATCATCCAGCCAAATAATCATCTGGTCCAGAGGTCAGCAAACTTTTTCTGTAAAGGACTAGATAAATATTTTAAGTTTTGTTGGTCACATATGGTCTCTGTTATATATTCTTTTTTTTTTTGTATTTTTTTTTTGTTACAACCTTTTAAAAAATGTAAAAATCATCCTTAGCTTGATAACTCAAGAGGTTGAGAGTCACATTTGGTCCGCAGACTATAGTTTTTGTCCCCTGATCTGGTATAATAAGCATCAGCATTTTGGGAATCCTACCTAATGTGTGCAGAGTTTTGCCTGATTTACAGCTTTTGTGATTTTATTGTAGGGAGAATTATTATCATCCATAGTTGCAATTGCACTGTGTCACTTGCTTAGTGAATTTTTTTTTTTTTTTTTTTACTATTTACAGCAGCCACATGGTGCAGTAGAAAGACAATAGGCTTTGGAGTCAGACAAACCATTAGAATCCTGACTTCAGTAAATTTGGGAAAGTTAGTTAACATTTCTTTACCTATAAAGTGATAGGATTCTTGTGAAGCTTAAAGGAGAAAATTTAAATGGATATTAGCACATGGTGGACAGTCACTAAAACTTTAGTTCCCTTCCCAGTACCTGACATTGCAATACTCACCTACATTGTGAGAGCTGGGCTTCTGTAAAATCAGTGTTACCCATGGAGAGTCTCCTTTCCTTTGTGCTGTCTATCATGGAAATTACATTTTTAAACTAGCATTGTTAAAAATAGTCTACTTTTCTTACTTATCACCTAACTTGCATTATACACATTCTAGAAATTTTGAGCCAAAGCCTTATCTCTGAGATGTTTGGGGGAATAATTCTTTTGTTTTGTCATTTTGGACTTAAATTTTTCATTACCAAGGTCACTAGGCTATAATATAATGGAACTCTCAGAGTCTTTCATGGATATATGCATTTATTTACTCTAGCTAGCTCCAGAGAGTATATATTTTGTATATAAGTATATATTTTGAATTCTTATGTACATTTATTATATTACATATTTTTTCTATCTGTTCACTTCGATCACATGGTCATTTCTTTCATTTTCCTTTTTTTTAATTGAGGTCATGCTGGTTTATAACATTATATAAATTGCAGGTGTACATCATTATATTTCACCTTCTGTGTAGCTTACATTGTGTTCACCACCAAAAGTCTAGTTGCCATCTGTCACCATTCAAATGCGCCTCTTTACCCCTTTCACCTTCTTCCCACCCCCTGTCCCTCTGGTAACTTCTATCAAATGGCCATTTCTTGATAATCAACTATAAGGCTTTTTCCTTTATAACTTTTGGCTTCTAATCTTCCTTGAGCTTAGAAAGCAGTGACCTAGTAAGTTACAGAGTGATGTGATATAAAGGTAAGTAGGCTCAAAATGAAAGCCAAGGGGACTTGCTGGACTCTGAGTAATGTGTAAGCACTTAGTGCAGGGCTTTCTAGTGTCTGTTTTGGTCTTTCAGAGACCTTTTTGCTTATTTCCTGGTTATTGGCTGGCATTACGGGAGATATGTAGCTCCACAGTCTCTGCTCAAAGCATTCCCATCATACTTGGAAAAAATGCAAACCATACCACAGCTTACAAGGTGCCACCTGACCCAGCCCTTGCCTGTCTCTACAAATGTCTCTCTTACTCTTCTCCTTTCTGCTCAAACTGATCTGGCCATGTTGACCTTTTGTTATTCTTTGGACATTTCAATGTTGCACTTGCCGTTTTCCTGACCTAGACACTCTCCTCCCCTCCCCCTTCTTCCACTGGCTGATACTTCTCATTCAAGTTTCAGGCTAAATGTCACCTCCTCGAGAAGTCTTCCTTGACCTCCATACTCCCTTACCTCTCACTGTCTCTCTTTTGTTTTCTTCATAGCACCGGACTGACATTATTTCAGAAACAAGGCAGTTGAGGTCCTCAGAGGTTTGTGTCTTATCCAAATCACTCTGAAAACTGTCAGAAACTAGACCTGACAGATTGAGGGGTGACTATACCCTTAGTGCTTTGTCCACTTTACTATCCATGATAGGGCACATCCTTTCTTTGACTGAGGAGAATGAAGGTTAAAGTAAAGTAAAGGCAACTAGCTATCTAGTCTCCCAGGTTACCCTGATCCTTTCATAATAAAGAATATGATCAAAACCAATATATGGGGCCGGCCCCGCGGCTTAGCGGTTAAGTGCGAGCACTCCGCTACTAGCGGCCCGGGTTCGGATCCCGGGTGCGCACCGACGCACTGCTTCTCCGGCCATGCTGAGGCCGCATCCCACATACAGCAACTAGAAGGATGTGCAGCTATGACGTACAACTATCTACTGGGGCTTTGAGGGGGGGGACCTTAAAAACCAATATATGGAGGTAGAACAAAACCTACCTGTGGCATGAGCTGTAAATTCAACATCCTGGAGACAGCCATGGTTATTTCTGAGTAGCCAGCACCTATGACAGCCTTAACCCTTGGCATGTAGCCGGAATAGTCACACTTTAACTCCACGATTTCTCTGGAGCAGTTGAACTTAGAAAGAAACCTCAGAGTAGCTGCCATTGCCACTGTGACATCTGTACAAGTGTCGTAGATTTCGTAGCCCAGTTTGACTCCAGATAATAGTGTTGAATTATTGATCATCTCAATGCTGTGTATCATGGCAAGAGTATGAAGAAAGATTGATATGTCAAAGCTGTTGAGAAACAAGTATTTTTTGAAATTGGAACATAACCCTTCTCCAGACATGGTGATATCTCATTTTATCCACGTCTCTGCCTTATAATAGACAATTTCTGGATCAGTGAAGCTTACCTCTTGATGAGTCTAAACTTTATTTATTTGAAAATAATTTCTGATGGAAATTTTAAAGGGTATATGTGAACCCACAGTTTCTCAATTGGAGTCTATGGAACAGGATTTAACCATTTCTTAATGAATTTTGGGATCATTTTGCTCACCCAGTTTAGCGTTCTGCTGTATGAAGATGTGTCTGATTTTTGTTCCTTTTTGTAGGTAAATGTCAGTATTTTACTGCCGTCCAAGTACCGGCTTTTTAGACCCACAAGCTTATCTTTTACTTTTCTGATTCTAATCTATTGTGGCTGAAAATCAGATTAATAAGACTTTTAAAAATTACATATAAAACAGACTCTGGGTAAAAGCCCAATAGCCTTCTTCTAGATAAAATGCACTATTTTAGTTCCAAGGCATATATATTCCCTCTTCTAGAAAGCTTTTCCAACTGACTTCTTGATTTGTGATTATTCCAGAGCACTAGTTGTTTGATTACTGATTTACTATTAAGTTTATTTCATCCCACATGGTATACAAAAGGTTACAGACAGTGCCTAATACATAGTAAACGTTCAATAAATGTTTTTAAATGAATAAAGGAGGATATTATTATTGAGGGTTTTGATATTCTAAGATTTCCTTTTAACTCATTGTTATGACAAATTAAATAAAACTATTTGAACACTAGTATTTGTCGATTGTGGGCTATCTAAATGTGAAGTTTGACAAATCAGCATGAAGTTTCTAATTTAAAGAAAGAAACAAAGAAGAGGGGCCAGCCTGATGGCGTACGTGCTCTACTACAGAGGCCCGGAATTCATGGGTTTGGATCCTGGGTGCAGACCTACAGACCACTCATCAGGCTGCGCTGTGGCATCATCCCACATACAAAATGGAGGAAGATTGGCACAGTTGTTAGCTCAGTCAGAGACAATCTTCCTCAAGCAAAAAGAGGAAGATTGGCAGTGGATGTTAGCTCAAGGCCAATCTTCCTTAACCCCCCCGCAAAAAAAAAAGAAAGAAAGAGAGAAAAGTTGAAGTAAAGAATTGTCTGCCAATTAAAATGTATATTTTCAGAGTCTCACACATGTTAGATCCACGACAGTCTGAACCTCCTTGGTGTACTTACCTCAGTATCCCAGTGCCTAGAATTGGGCTTAGGTAATGTCAGCATTTAGTAAATACTTGTTTAATGTTGACTGAATACTATTTCTCTCTAGGAGTGACAATAAGGTGAAAGGATGTTTGATTCGGTGATTTTTTCCAGAATAAATTTGCTTATTAGATCAAATGATTCTTTACTGTTTTCCATCCTTAATTGTTGGCTTAGAATTGTGGGTCTAAATTTTCAGTCATTCTTTGGGTGTCCTGATAGTCAACAATTATGAGGACCGTATGTGCCCACCTTCTGGGGAGAATGCCAGGAAGGAATCTCGGTGTGATGTGAGATCCCGTTTCATCTGAAAGCATTCTTAAAGGGCTTGGTAAATACTTTTTGATAAAGAAAGAAAAAAAGGGAGGAGAAAAGAGGAGATTAAATTTACATACAAAAACTTCAAGATGGAAATCAGGATTTTAGAGTTAGAAGGAAGCATGAGGAGCACATTGCCATAGCAATGGAGGCGGATGCTGCCTGTGTCCTTAGAGGTTATCTAGGCCCTTATTTTACAGATGAGAATATTGGAAACTGGAACTCAGAGTTTAAGTGATTTACCTAAGTTTACAAAATTAATTTGTCCCCAAAATGAAATTAGAATTCATATATCCTGCTCTTGTTAAAGACAACCCATTTGTAACACACCCCACCTAACTTTACTTTTCCATATTACACTGTGCCAAATGTTTTTTCTATAGTTAAGCTTTTACAATGTAAAGTGTTCATGAAGGAAGAAGGAATAGTTTGAGTTTAGTTGTGGTCTTAATTTATCATGAAATAATTAGATTATTTCAAGAATGAAATGAAGACAATGTTGACAAAAATATTAGTGTAGAGAAAATTTTTTAATGTAGTCTATTTTAGACAAAGAATTAAATAACAGGTCCATGTTTATAACAATGTATGTTGTGGGTGACAGAAATATTAATGTGCTATGTATGCTGTGGTGGACAGGCTACAGTGTCTTATTGGTTTTCTCAAGTGACTTCAGGGATTTTTTTTAAGGCAAAATCCAAATAAACATATTAATGAAAAGCATTAATTTCCTCTGCACTTGGAGATTGATTATACATATAGTGCTGATATATCTCTCTTGTAAGGAAGGATTGGCTTCCTTAAAGTAACTAAGATTAACTATATGCAATTCAAAATATATGAGTTTAAACTTTATTAAAACTATTTAGATGTTAATACAGGACATCATTTCTGCTCAAGTCTCACAGTATAGGCTTGAAAACTAAACACGTTCTGTGAGGCTTTACTCACCCAACACACTTCTGGATTTCTGGTCGTCTGGGATAGTCTTCTGAGGATAGCATTTTTTCATGAATGGCAAACAAACCTCCAATCATGATATGTCCCGGAGAAGTGGCAGCCACAAAGTCATCAGGGGTCTGGCAAGGCTGGGAAGTAACAAGAAAAATCACAAAGCAGGTAATCAGTATAATCAATAATGCCATGTTTCTATCTCATCTGCTCATTTCATATGAGTTCTTAGGAATCACTAAGCTCAGAGAATGCCAACAACATGGTTCCTATTTCACCTGTAAACACCATGTAAGGTATAGGACAGTGTAAGGGCCAGAAACACTCAGTATTCAGATACTTGATGATAGTCAAAACAGTTCTTCACCAATAAGAACATATCAGACTCTCTAACACTCTAACATTGGAGATGTACGAGAGCAGTAACACTAGCTGGTAGAATGAGAAACATAGGTCTCACTGTGACAGCACTCTTTCACTCCACTGATATGTCAAGACTTTGAGTCACATTGGCTTTTCTTTTGAAGCAGAATGTAGAATCTTACAAGGGAGCTGTTTGGGAAAGTTTTCCCACCTAAGAAATGGTTATTTCTGCATTTCCAAAGGTATCACATTCAAGGCGCAAAGACTTCCATGTAGTTTATAAACTGTTTAGAAAAGTAGCATCGTGCTTTTATTTTTCCAGAAAAGCTCTACCTAAAAAAATGAAATTCAATTAAGTTTAGGTATTTATCACCTTCAGTTTACATGTGTTAGAAATAAGTAGTTTTTGTGGTGATGGGCAAAACTAAAATTATGAGATGAAACTTGTCTGATATAGTGTTTTGCTTTGAACAAGAAAGGTCTTCATAGATAATTGACATCTCCAAAGTTGTTTGTGGATTTGATTTTTATAAATTTGGGACTAATTTCAAGCTATATGTTCTTAAAAGCTTAGGAATCTGCACTAAAATGACTTTATGGATATCTTTTGGAATTTAACAGGAGATAGATAAACTTCAGTAACTTAGGCACCATTAAGAATAAGTTGAGGGGGCCGGCCCCATGGCTTAGCGGTTAAGTGCACGTGCTCCGCTACTGGCAGCCCGGGTTCGGATCCCGGGCACGCATGGACGCACCACTTCTCCGGCCATGCTGAGGCAGTGTGCCACATACAGCAACTAGAAGGATGTGCAACTATGACATGCAACTATCTACTGGGGCTTTGGGGAAAAAAAAACGAGGAGGATTGGCAATAGATGTTAGCTCAGAGCCGGTCTTCCTCAGCAAAAAGAAGAGGATTGGCATGGCTGTTAGCTCAGGGCTGATCTTCCTCACACACACAAAAAAGAATAAGTTGAAAGTTTTTCACTTCATTTTTTTTTTTTTTTAAAGATTTTATTTATTTATTTTTCCCCCAAAGCCCCAGTACATAGTTGTCTGTCATAGCTGCACATCCTTCTAGTTGCTGTATGTGGGACGCGGCCTCAGCATGGCTGGAGGAGCGGTGCCTCGGTGCGCACCCGGGATCTGAACCCGGGCCGCCGGCAGCGGAGCGCACGCACTTAACCGCTAAGCCACGGGGCCGGCCCTCACTTCATTTTTAAAATCAATCTTTTTCAGACATTGGATTAAGAAGGAATATCATGGGCAAGCAGTTCCAAATCCAATACATCCAGCTTGTTTGATGGGTAGCAGACACATTTAAAGGAATTTCAGAAAATAAAAAAAATACAATGGCAATTAGAGCATTATTCATAATCCAAATTAGCCTTAGATTCCATTGACATGTGGGGTTATCCCAATTGAAATGTGGAGAAGTCACAGCTCTTTACACAGTGTCACATGTTTCCTTAAGTCTTACCATTTTAATCAGTGGCAGGATTTCCCCTTAAGACCCAAACCAGTTAACTTCAGTTGTCCAAAAATTTCAATAAACATACATGAGTTTGAAGACTCTTCAAATGTTTCACGATTGCATTTTGCCTATCTTAATCTTATTATCCATTTGTGAATGTGTGTGCATGTGTGTGTGTGTGTGTGTGTGTGCAATTGGATAAATTTATGTTTTCATGACTTTAGTTATTTTGCTTAGATAACCTCTAAGGTCTGATGTAATTATAAGTTCAAAGATAATGTTGATAAAGATATACTAAAACATAAGAAATTCAGATAATTGCCCAGCAAAAGTATATAATAGGTATTAAGCAACTCAGAGTGATTCTGAAGCTATGACTCTCATGTGACCATATTGCTCAGACCTGACATTTACTTGAAAGATCAGTGACAAAGGGTGTACCAACGATTTCTCTTAAGGTGCAATTTAAACAATATTTAGGGTCTCTATAATCTGACAAAACTCAAAAATAAACCACATTTTCTTATTTTAATAAATATAATCTAAATTTGAAAATCTATTTCTATAAAGGAGCTTTCTGAAGGTAGGAGAACAAAAGGTTTCAAAAGCCCTTGCCCTGTAAAATGAAGTGTCATGTGGCAGAAAGGGCTCAAGCTTTGGAAGCTGACAGATCTGCATGGCTCTGCCTACCACTTAACATATGACCATGAATGAGTTACTTAATTTTTCTGGACAATAATTTTCTCATTTATAAAATAGGAAAGATACTTTATCTCAGGGGTATGTTTTGAGACTTGAGCTGAATCCATTTGTAAAAAAGCTCCTATATTCTAGTAGGTACTCAGCAATTAGCTCTTGTCTCAGTCCGTTAGGGATGCTATAACAAAAATACCATAAACTGATAGCTTATAATCAGCAAACATTTATTTCTTGCAGTTCTGGGGCTGGGAAGTCCAAGATCACGGCCCCAGCAGATTCTATGTCTGCCCACTATAAACGTTACATGGCAGAAGGGGCAAGGGAGCTTTCTCAAGGCTGTTTTTATAAGGGCACTAATCCCATTCAGGATGCCTCTGCCCTCATGACCTAGTCACCTCCCAAGGGCCCCACCTCCTAATACCATCACCTTTGGGGGTTAGATTTCAACATATGAATTTCGGGAGGACACAAACATTCAGACGATAGCAGATCCCTCCTTTTCCTTCCCCAGACCAAACTTAAGGTAATTAATTCCTAAATTTGGAGTGCTTTCTAATAGTTGGCTACACCATTGTTTAAAGCAATTCCTCAAACACCTTAAAACGTGCCTAGTAGAAATGATGATGTTTGTAAAATTACCACTAGTTGGTTATTGTCTCCCTAGATTGTAAATCTGTTACTGAGTTAAGCTTGAAGGAAGATACAGAGTACAGCCATGCACCGCATAATGACGTTTTGGTCAATGGCAGACTGCATATACGACAGTGGTCTCATAAGATTGGTACCACATAGCCTAGGTGTGCAGTAGGCTATACCACCTAAGTTTGTGTAAGTACACTCCAGCTCTATGACGCTGTCACAATGGTGAAATTTTCTAATGATACATTTCTCGGAACATATCCCCATCATTAAGCATGGCATGACTGTATATTGATTACTTCAGAATTCCATTGGACACATTATCTTCATTATTGTAGTTTCTATCATTCTCAAGATTTAATTTTGGACCAGGGACAGAACTTTTAGCCATAATTTAGAATCTATAGTTACTACATATTTTCTGCTATTTAAAAACACTTAAAAATGAAAATAGGGGTGGCCTTGTGGCCTAGTGGTTAAGCTTGGCATGCATTACTTCAGCGGCCTGGGTTCAGTTCCTGGGCGTGGACCTATACCACTCGTTGGTGGCCATGCCGTGGCAGCGAACCACATGCAAAATAAAGGAAGATTGGCACAGATGTTAGCTCTGGGAGAATATTCCTAAGCCAAAAAAAAAAAAAAAAAATGACAATAACTGTTATTATTCCAAAAGATTTTTGGTTTCTTTTACCTTAAGCAACTGTTTCCGGAGGATAAAAACTTTTGAAAAAATTTTGAGAGATAAATTACTGATGGCACTAGCTTGTTCCTCCTTTTGATCTCAAGGTTCTGTATTTCTTTGTAACTATCTTTATGTGAAGAGGTAAATGGTTAATATGATTTAAAGAGAATAGCACAGAAGTGATATCACTACCCAAGTAATTCTTGTAAAGACATCACCACTTTGCTTGGTCAAGTACAGAAGGGACATACAATCAATGAGTAAGGATGCTTTGTTCTATTATTATTAGTTTGCAGCACTGTCGATGGGATGACTCCCCCTATGATGAAAGGCAAATGAAGACTGGGTCAGGCTGGGAATAGCACTCTGGGACCAGAGGTCAGAATACAGCATCAGCACTCCAGGAAGCTTTTAACTAGTGAGGTTTGACACCTGCCGTCTTTTAGCACTTTAGTTTTCCCTCCTGTTATCATAGTTTCCCATCTACCCTCCCCAACTCTATACCTTTCCTTCACACTTCATTAAATTTCATACGAATAATGATACCACAAAGATGTTTTCAGTGTTATTTGCATCTGCAATGAGATTTTGAAAACAGAACTGTCTTTAAAATTAAAGGAAGAAATTTAAACAGTGGAATTTCAGTAATCTGCAAGAGCAGTTGGGGAAAGTGTTCCGTATGGCAGGGGTTCAGGGGGATCCTTTGGACCACACCACACAGGCAGCTGGTGACTGTCTGCACACAGAGACAGCCTGATGGAACAGGTCAGAGTGCTGACTCTGAAACAAAAGAAGCCAACACCAATGTTATGAAGGTAGGTGCCAATACCTACAGCCTAGGGGAAAAATAAACAGAGCCTAAGAATGAGTTCTTATCCATCAGTCCACATTGTCAATCTCTTTCAGTTTTTGTTTGTTTTTTTTTTAGGGTTACACAAACAAAATTATATTTAGCTAAACAAGCAGCTATTCAAAGCACGATGCCACGGCTACATTTTATTTGATCAACATTAAATTTGAACGCCTTTTTATGTTTGTAGTGTGCTTCTCTTCCAAGTTATCCAAAAGTCATAGAGGAGAGATTGTAGCCTTAAGAACACAACTCTGAGCCATGAATCCTATGATTAGGCACTTTCAACTGGCATCTATTGTGCTAATGTCTTACGTGTTTACTTACTTCTCTTATTGTTTCCTAATTTTTCATGTGCTTAACTATTATCTTCAACTAGATAGAATCTTATTGAAGGCTGAGATAGGGTTTTATAGACCTTTGTACATCTCATAATTCAGTGTCTAAAAAAAATACAGTTTTGTGATGTATTTAACTACATTACAAATATATTGCTCAGTTTGATCATCTTACCAAGGCCTCATTAAGCTC